CCATCGAATGTTCACAGAGAAATGGGATATTGTCCAAACCAGCTTGACCACTTGGTGTGGAATCAGGCAGTAAGCCCTGGCTTATTCACAGAAATAAGATTCACAGATCCATTTGCGCACCAAAGTCCATATAGCAGCATGTAGATGGGTGTAGTTTGGTTATGGGCTGGTGTAATTGTGCCCCCAGTAAGATGTACATTCCTAGCAAAACACCTTATACACAGTACACCCAATTGTCCACCCCTTGCATAGGCCATTGATCCCGCTCCTCTATAGTCATAGGAGAGGGGCACATCCAAACATCTTCTATTAATTTACACTATTTTACACACACACCCATTGATTTCCAGTGAGCTCCTCCCCTTCTCATTATTTCCGTAGGGCTTGTGGGGGCCACCTTAGTTGCCATTCCATTTCCAGGTACCACGGTAGCTATTACACAGGTGCTGGCCTCCTAGTTGAGAATTTTGCATTCCCATACACATCTTCCCCCCAAGGTCAGCCTTTTGAAGCCATCCCCCACCCACATCATGAGGTTTTCTGTTCATTAAAACACAACAATGCTAGCAACAAGACAAACACCACAGACAAACAACACAAAACATAGATCCATGGTATTCTGAGTTATTCTTCCGCTGGCGCCAGCTTGCTTGTAGAGTGTCTGAAAAACAAAAGAAACAATTTCTACCCCCCTGGTGGGGACAGATTATTGCTTAATAATAATACCACTTTCTTTTACAAATTGCTAATTGCAGGAAAAACAGAAGAATTACCTCCAGGCTGTCCTTATTTTGTTCTATAGTCAGGCTAGTGAATTACCTCACTCACTGGTCATTTATGAAATTCATGAGATGGTGTACCTCAGTTTCCCCTCTTGTACAACAGACCAAGTTTGCAATAGTTTCTCTGCTGTACCAAGCTTTAAGTTATTCTCAGGTAATAGCTGAGACACAGCTTCAGATTTTAGCACTGCACACACACACACACACACACCCCTTAAGGTTAACCTGTCCCCCTTATTTTCAGGCTTGACTTGTTTTTTTCACCTCCCTTTCCTGGAGGGCCATAATCTGAGTCTTCTAGTAGCTTGTTTGCTGACCAGATGTATTTGTTATTTGCAGCTCCTTTGTGCCCATCAGCTAGGTAATTTGCATTTACACACAGAGGCTTACTAGCTTGCTTCTGGATCCAAAGCTGTTAGCAGCTCAGACACTGTCTTAAAAGGGAAGCATTTTACTTCCACCAGAGTTCTGATTACTTTCCACTTTCATCTCCTGCTCCAAATCACACAGAGATCTGAAAAAGAAAGCACAACCTATTGTGGCTCCTTTTGGAGCCCTATTAGGATTTTAATTAAGTACCATGTTTTATTTGCATTTCTTTTACTCCTTCTCCAATATACACTGCACACGTTCTGGGAAAATGCACATTCCTTCCATATAGTTTATCCTCCATACATTATATTAGCCATATTAATTTTACACAAGGTATAACTGCCTCCCCCATGCCTACAGAGTTTTCATGCACACCCACCAAAGCAACAATCTAATCCCCCAGAGCCATCCCAAGGCTCAGTGTTCCCATCATTCCTCCCCTTTTCCTTTTCTTTCACCTGTGCGCACACACACAAAATTCTGTTTTGCCTAACATCCCTTGCACTGTAATTACTCTTTTTACACAACTGTACCCCGATTACACTTCCATCTTGTACAACTAGACACAACCAGGGGCAGCCAAGTTAAGTTCCAATAGAAACCTCTTCCATCCTTTAGTGATTTTGATTACATTACCCAAAAGTCAAATAATTTTGATCAGATTCTCTCTCTGCCTGCTGCCTGCAGCAGTCCCTTATAGACCATTTCTGTGGGAAAAGGGCCCATTTTCCCTCAGAATAGCTATAAAGGCTTCTGGGGACAGAAGCGTAGTGGTGATAGTAGCCACTCTACCTGACCCCCTTGGAAAATGTAATTACCAAGCTTCCATCCAATGTGACTGCACAGAGTTGCACATACAGTTACATTTATATAACTGGGTTTTATCATTAAACAAAAACTTCTTTCTTGACATCTCACATAAATATCCAAAGTACCCTCCATTAAAACTTCAGAAAAACAAAAGAGCGTGGAAAGGCAGGTTGCACTTTGAAACTTTTTTTTTTTCTCCCTCTACTTCCCCAGGACCAAGTCTCAGATCCAGTCTCTAAAGGTAGTCTGTTAACTCTGCTTTTGACTATAACACTTTTGAGCCAAATCATCTTTCACTACCCCTAACTAATTTACAACCCTTCAGCAGCCCTTGCTGAAGCAGCACCAAACTTGAAAGATTGCTGGCAGCTTCCCATAATGCTGCCCTTACTTCAAACCTCTCACAAGCAGACTGAAGTGCCTCCTTTCCCTGGGAGGCATTCAGTCCCCATGGGCAGGGACCTTCTTCCACTACCCATATACCAAGGAGGGTGGGCTCCTCAGCCACCCCCCATACCTCTGGGTCCCCTAACACTTCCTCCATTTCCTTTTTAATCTCATCCCAGGTTGACCCCTGTACCTGGTATGGGCCCTGGTTCTCCCTTATCCATTTATCCAAAAAATCCTTTACCCTGGCTTGCCAGAACCCGCAACTACCATCACGAGAGTTCGCGATACCCCCTCCAAGCAGCTGCGCGGACTGTTGGGGAGGGGGACTTACAGGCTGCCACTCACCTATCCAATGTGATGCATCCAAGTCACCGGCACCAAGATGTTAGGGGGCTTATTCCTTCACCCACTTACTTCTCTGGTCCTTCTCGCATGAACAGAGAGCAACAATACCCGAAGTCCAAAGGTGCAAACAATTCGATGTTTATTGCGGTGAACTTCCAGCAAGCATGATTCCAGTTTCCTTCCTTAGTATCCTCCTTCCCAGCTCTGACACCACAGAGCCTTACGCCTGTGTCCCTGTTCCCATTCCTACCCTTAGCCAAACATGATTCTAACTTCCTTACTCCCATTCCCTGTTCCCATTTCCCCCTTTAGCAAAACATGATTCCAATTTTCTTACCCCCATTCCCTGCTCCCATTTCCCTTACCCACATGCCCATGCCCACCCGCACCCACACCCACTCACTTCCTCATTGACTACAGATTATATAGTAAAACTTGAGTTCTGCTTAGCTCTACCTTAACCAATCATTTTCCTGAAATTTAACTAACCAATCCTAACATATTGTAACATGATTATGTAACCAATTATATCCCACCACCTTAATTAGTTTACACCCAGCAAAATTAATTATACAGCAGACAGGAACAATCACAGAACCAGACAGAGATTATACAGACAAACAATAGCAAAGTGGGAACTATAATGACAAGACAACACAGAAGTGAGGATTTCACATCCCAGCTATTGAGAAGTGAATTCTTGCCAGACAGGATGCTATCAAACTAAGTTTCCTTTTACATTTTCTAGGCACTTCCCTTTCTCTGGAGGTGATAGGAATACAATCCTGTCCTGATAGTGCCTAACAGCCCAATAGCACCTTATTTCAATGTGACTAGTTTGGAATGTGAGGATGTGACTGTTCGCTTCCCAGCTTATGGCTGCCTCTGCTGCTTAGCCAAAGGCCTTAGCCTAAGAACAGGGCCTCAGACTGTCACAGTAAGAGAAGGCCCTTACACCAGCAGATAGTGATTTTGATTCTTTCTTTTATACCTCTATAATTAGCCAAGTGATAAGAATACACCTAAATTCTTAGAGTACAGGCCTTTACAGACAGGCCTGAATATCTATATCCTAACATCCATTTGACACCACTTGGAATTTGCCCCATTGATTCTAATAGAGTTATAGCCAGCTGAGACAAGCTAGGGATCTGGCCTTTCTATAACATATGTGTAAAGACTTGATCAACTTAACTTGGTGTTGAACAGGTATCTTAAAGAGAGACTTTTTCTGGATCTTTTTTTCCTGAAGCATTACAAAAAACCAACCCTATTACATTGTTTTTGATTTGGGTGCTTTTGAAAATTCCAGCGGGCAGTTATCTGCATCATTAGGGGACTAAATACCTTTGAAAATCTGGCCTTACGTGATTTATGAGCCTATGTCCCATTGGTTATTTCTCTGAGCATTTTACATTAACATCCACTGCAATCTGACAATGTTCAGAGGAAAAATTAAACAAAAGAAAGAAAGGCCAAAAACCTGAAAGAAAGGACAAACCTGAGTAAAATCATGAGGGCATCTTTCTGCATGTATAATTTGCTGCCAGTTCTCCCTGCCCATGTACCTCCAAGATTTAGGGTTATCATATTAGCATGATTTATAATACAGTACTGGCTACAACCCCCAGTCAAAACCAGGGCTCCATTTTACTTTTTGTTGCACAGACACAGGGTAAGTAGAAGTCTCTGCTTCAAAGATCTCACAATGTACATAGACAAAGTAGGAGAAATCATTAATATCATTTTACAGATGGGGAAGTGGGATTAGTTCTGAGATTTTCAAACCTGCCAAAGGGCCTTGGAAACCAAATACCCATTAAAACTGGTAAGAATTGGGAACCCAAATCCGTTAGCATCTCAGCCTAAGTTGCCTGTTCAGGGTCACGCAGGGTGCTAATCAGAGATCCCAGATCTCCCAACTCACATTCCAGCATCTTCACCACAAATAGGCGTTCAGGAGTACAACTCTTGCTAGGAATTTCTATCTGAGCCTCAGTTTCAGGCCTCATCGTCCCTACATTTTGGCTGGCACCTCGAAATAATTCAAAGGAAGTGATGCGTCCAACAGGGTGTCTAATTCCCCTGAGCTCCTTGGAAGGTCCCTACTTATGCCCATAATGTGCATCATCTGAGATGATAATTCTATGGAAGACCCTTGTTCATAATCCCCTACATTTGGTGTTCATTGTCATCCATCCCCAATCCCTGTTTTCTCTTGAATTGCCCACTGTGTCATATCAGCTCTTGAGAGAGCTCAGGAGAAAAATTCTGTTGTGTGCTCTGGGCCTCTTTCACCTCTTAGTTCCTCAGGCTGTAGATCAAGGCATTCAGCATGGGGATGACAGTGGTGTAGAACACAGAGACCACTTTGCTTTGATCAGGGGAGGATACGGCCTTGGGCTGAGCATATGTAAAGGAGACTGTCCCAAAGAACAAGCTCACAGCCACCTTTTGGGAGATACAGGTGGAGAAGGTTCTGCATCTTCCCTCAGCAGAGGGTGTCCACATGACGGTGGCGATGATGTAGCTACAGGAGATGATGACTAGGGAAGTGCTCACTATGGAGAAGCCACCTGCAAACAGCATCAGACGTTTATTGGCAAAGGTGTCAGAGCAGGAGGCCTGCATCACAGCAGGGATGTTGCAGAAAAAGTGATTGATTTTCCTGATCTCACAGAAGGAAAAGCTGAATGTAAAACCCATTTGGATGGTGCAGTTGAGGCAGCTTGAGAGGTAGAAGCCAGCCACCAGGCAAACACAAGTCATCTTGAATATGATGCCTGAATCCAGCAGAGGATAGTGAAAAGTCCATAAGCCATCATGGCCAGGAAGAACGCCTTGCTGATCCCAAAGAGAGAGAAGAAGAACATTTGGGCAGCACAGCCTTTATAGGAGATGGCTCTGCTCCACACTGAGAAACTCAGCAGGGCTTTGGAGGTGATGGCAGAGGAGTAGCGGAGTCCAGCAAGGAGAAGTTCTGAAAGAAGACTTACAAGGGGGTGTTGAGCTTGGCGTTAGTGCCGACAATGGAGATCATGCAAACTATCTTACAGCCCAAGTCTGTGGGAAATTACTCTGCTTTAAACATGGCTGAGGGAGTTGGGTGATGAACATTATCGCCCAGAGTCAAGTCAGGACTATGACCAGTTAGGATTCTATCATTAACCTGAAAAGTCACATTTACTTCTGGTATATGCCTGCTCACCAACCTCTGAACAATGAGCACTGGCTTCATCACTATTTCTTCTTAGTTCCAGGAATCCCTGGGGCATAATGACTGGGTACCGCGTAAGGTTCAAAGACAATATCCTACTGGCAAGTTTTTGTAATATTCATGGGAGCTGGGCACCTAATTCCTGTAAATTCCAATAATGGCAATAATAGTCCCATCAAAGAGGGAAAATAGGAAGAAATGACTCATAATGAAAAGCTTTTCAATCTCAAAATTCAGGTTTCAGAGGAACAGCCGTGTTAGTCTGTATTCGCAAAAAGAAAAGGAGTACTTGTGGCACCTTAGAGACTAACCAATTTATTTGAGCATGAGCTTTCGTGAGCTACAGCTCACTTCATCGGATGCATACCGTGGAAACTGCAGCAGACTTTATATACACACAGAGAATATGAAACAATACCTCCTCCCACCCCACTGTCCTGCTGGTAATAGCCCATCTAAAGTGATCAACAGGTGGGCCATTTCCAGCACAAATCCAGGTTTTCTCACCCTCCACCCCCCCACACACAAATTCACTCTCCTGCTGGTGCTAGCCCATCCAAAGTGACAACTCTTTACATAATCAAGTCGGGCTATTTCCTGCATAAATCCAGGTTTTTTCACATTCCCCCCACCCCCATACACATACAAACTCACTCTCCTGCTGGTAATAGCTCATCCAAACTGACCACTCTCCAAGTTTAAATCCAAGTTAAACCAGAACATCTGGGGGGGGGTAGGAAAAAACAAGAGGAAACAGGCTACCTTGCATAATGACTTAGCCACTCCCAGTCTCTATTTAAGCCTAAATTAATAGTATCCAATTTGCAAATGAATTCCAATTCAGCAGTTTCTCGCTGGAGTCTGGATTTGAAGTTTTTTTGTTTTAAGATAGCGACCTTCATGTCTGTGATTGCGTGACCAGAGAGATTGAAGTGTTCTCCGACTGGTTTATGAATGTTATAATTCTTGACATCTGATTTGTGTCCATTTATTCTTTTACGTAGAGACTGTCCAGTTTGACCAATGTACATGGCAGAGGGGCATTGCTGGCACATGATGGCATATATCACATTGGCGGATGTGCAGGTGAACGAGCTTCTGATAGTGTGGCTGATGTTATTAGGCCCTGTGATGGTGTCCCCTGAATAGATATGTGGGCACAATTGGCAACGGGCTTTGTTGCAAGGATAAGTTCCTGGGTTAGTGGTTCTGTTGTGTGGTATGTGGTTGTTGGTGAGTATTTGCTTCAGGTTGGGGAGCTGTCTGTAGGCAAGGACTGGCCTGTCTCCCAAGACTTGTGAGAGTGTTGGGTCATCCTTTAGGATAGGTTGTAGATCCTTAATAATGCGTTGGAGGGGTTTTAGTTGGGGGCTGAAGGTGACCGCTAGTGGCGTTCAGTTATTTTCTTTGTTAGGCCTGTCCTGTAGTAGGTAACTTCTGGGAACTCTTCTGGCTCTATCAATCTGTTTCTTTACTTCTGCAGGTGGGTATTGTAGTTGTAAGAAAGCTTGACAGAGATCTTGTAGGTGTTTGTCTCTGTCTGAGGGGTTGGAGCAAATGCGGTTGTATCGCAGAGCTTGGCTGTAGACGATGGATCGTGTGGTGTGGTCAGGGTGAAAGCTGGAGGCATGCAGTTAGGAATAGCGGTCAGTAGGTTTCCGGTATAGGGTGGTGTTTATGTGGCCATTGTTTATTAGCACTGTAGTGTCCAGGAAGTGGATCTCTTGTGTGGACTGGACCAGGCTGAGGTTGGTGGTGGGATGGAAATTGTTGAAATCATGGTGGAATTCCTCAAGGGCTTCTTTTCCATGGGTCCAGATGATGAAGATGTCATCAATATAGCGCAAGTAGAGTAGGGGCTTTAGGGGACGAGAGCTGAGGAAGCGTTGTTCTAAATCAGCCATAAAAATGTTGGCATACTGTGGGGCCATGCGGGTACCCATAGCAGTGCCGCTGATCTGAAGGTATACATTGTCCCCAAATGTGAAATAGTTATGGGTAAGGACAAAGTCACAAAGTTCAGCCACCAGGTTAGCCGTGACATTATCGGGGATAGTGTTCTTGACGGCTTGTAGTCCATCTTTGTGTGGAATGTTGGTGTAGAGGGCTTCTACATCCCGCAACCTGAAGCAAATACTCACCAACAACCACATACCACACAACAGAACCACTAACCCAGGAACTTATCCTTGCAACAAAGCCCGTTGCCAATTGTGCCCACATATCTATTCAGGCGACACCATCACAGGGCCTAATAACATCAGCCACACTATCAGAAGCTCGTTCACCTGCACATCCACCAATGTGATATATGCCATCATGTGCCAGCAATGCCCCTCTGCCATGTACATTGGTCAAACTGGACAGTCTCTACGTAAAAGAATAAATGGACACGAATCAGATGTCAAGAATTATAACATTCATAAACCAGTCGGAGAACACTTCAATCTCTCTGGTCACGCAATCACAGACATGAAGGTCGCTATCTTAAAACAAAAAAACTTCAAATCCAGACTCCAGCGAGAAACTGCTGAATTGGAATTCATTTGCAAATTGGATACTATTAATTTAGGCTTAAATAGAGACTGGGAGTGGCTAAGTCATTATGCAAGGTAGCCTGTTTCCTCTTGTTTTTTCCTACCCCCCCCCCCCCCCCAGATGTTCTGGTTTAACTTGGATTTAAACTTGGAGAGTGGTCAGTTTGGATGAGCTATTACCAGCAGGAGAGTGAGTTTGTATGTGTATGGGGGTGGGGGGGATGTGAGAAAACCTGGATTTATGCAGGAAATAGCCCGACTTGATTATGTAAAGAGTTGTCACTTTGGATGGGCTAGCACCAGCAGGAGAGTGAATTTGTGTGGGGGGGTGGAGGGTGAAAAAACCTGGATTTGTGCTGGAAATGGCCCACCTGTTGATCACTTTAGATGGGCTATTACCAGCAGGACAGTGGGGTGGGAGGAGGTATTGTTTCATATTCTCTGTGTGTATATAAAGTCTGCTGCAGTTTCCACGGTATGCATCCGATGAAGTGAGCTGTAGCTCACGAAAGCTCATGCTCAAATAAATTGGTAGTCTCTAAGGTGCCACAAGTACTCCTAATCTCAAAATTGTGAACCATGCATATTTGAGAGGACATTTTTTAATAAACAAACAAAAAATCATTCCATTTTGAAACCTCAGGAATGAAAATGGCTTACAACTTTCAACATTTTTCCCCAAAAAATCGGTTTTCAACCACCGCTAATCTCTACAAATGGCAATTTGTGCAAAACCCATTGGCAATTAGGCCTGGTCTACACACAGTGTGTTTATTCATCATTCATAGATTATAAGGCCAGAAGAGATCATTGTGAACTTCTAGTCTGACCTCTTGTAGAACAGAACATAGAACTTCCCTATCTTAATACCTGTTTCAACTAAAACATATCTTTCAGGAAAAAGAAATCCTATCTTCATTTAAAAATTGCAAGTGATACAGAATCCACCAGAATCCTTACAAGGCTGTTCCAATTGCTAATTACCCTCACTACTGATTGAATTATTTGGTTGGGGTGTGTGGTGGGGTGTACAAAACCCACTCTGAGGGCTTGGCTACGCTTGCAGATGTAGCGCACTTTGGGTTAAACCAGCCTTCGTACAGCACAGTAGGGAAAGCGCTCTAGTCTATCCACACTGACAGCTGAAAGCACACTGGTGTGGCCACATCTGCAGCACTTGCAGCTGCACTGGGAGCGGTGCATTATGGGCAGCTATCCCAGCTTTCAAGTGGCTGCAACGTGCTTTTCAAATGGAGAGGGGGTGGAGTGGAGTGTGTTGTGTGTATGTGAAGGGACAGAGAGTGGGTTTTTGGGGTGCTCAGAGTGTGTCAGCACGCTGTCTTGTAAGTACAGACCCCCCTCCCTCCCCTGCCTCTCTCTCACTCACTCAAAGCGGACATTAGCTGTTTGTTTTTTTCTCGGAGCTGATAAGCAGCCAGCCCAAAACGGAGCTTTGAAAGGGCCACTTCCGCATTTCTGCCAGGGTTCACAACAAGAGAGGCCACTTCAGTTTAGGGGATTATGGGACATTTCCAGAGGGCAATCAGAGCACTGTAACGTAACTCCTCGTTCACACTGACGCTGTAGCGTCTCACCCAATATGCAGCAAACCTTATCCCTCTTGGGGAGGTGGAGTACCAGCAGCGCTCTAGCCAGGGAGTCAGAGTGCTCTATGTGGCTTGCCAGTGTGGATGGGGAGTAAGTTAGAGAGCTCTGGGCGGCTTTATTGTAGTATAATGTGCAAGTGTAGCCAAGGCCTGAGAAACTAGGGTTTAAGTAGTAGCCCGATCAAATCTAATGTACCTAATTTCAAATGTCAAGTGTGTTCAGAGAACTTGTCAGGGTCAGGCTACAGACTGAGGGTCTGATTCTCCTCTCACTCAATGTGGTGTAAATCAGGAATACATTCATTGCAGTCATTGGAGCTGATTCTACCTGTGATGTAAATCAGAAAACCCACCTGGCACTGGTCATGCAGCCTTCTCTGCTACATACAAATGAGAAGGAGATATGTGTTTAAAGTATAACTCTTTACTGTAAGATTTGGTTCCCTTTTGGATTCCTCCGGGAGAAAATAAGAGCAATTTCTAATTTCCTTGTTTGAAAATAGACCCTCAGCAATGTTCAATTGTACAGTGCTGCGGCTGGGGAGTTTTCAGATGATTTCTCCAAAATTGAGGGAACTCCCCCTACCATCCTGATTTTGATGCAAATGTCTGAATCTAT